TCTGTCTATGAAGAGAAGCTTAGTGGAGGGTGCAGGTAAAGCAGGAAATTGGTCGCACGTGTGGGGGCAAGTCACAGCTGCAGTGCCTAAAGCAGGTGAGCTACTTTGGTCCCGAGAAAACATCTCCTGAGACAAGGCCAGTCATTAGTCACTAGCAGCCCCGTGTAGCGTGACACTAACTTTCTCAAATGTGTAACTAAACGCCCGGAGGTGACTGTTCAGTTCCTTTCCTCCTATGAGGACAGAGAGGGTTCCACCTGTCACCTTTTGTCTCGTCTTTATTTCTTCATCCTCTCGCTGGGAACAGCAAGGTAAACGCATAATCCAGTTCTTGAGTCCAAAAGTTTATATAGTTAAAATCAAATGCAACATTATAAGATTTCACTAACTGAAGATGTGACTATTAAACCCTATTTTTTATCTAAGCTTAGAATTTAATATAGATTTTATAAAAATGATTTTCATATTTACACACATCAAAATATGAACTTAAATACTGCATGTATGCAAAGAAATATGGCATGGCTGGACATACAACAAACTGCTACTGGTATCTCTCTTGACATACGGATGTTCTGGAAAACCTCATTCCCCTCTTGGTGCTTTCTTACATGTCCAGGACTTGCTATGCTGCCTGGGAGACAGCCATGGTGACGCTTCTCAGTGACCACATCGCCGGGCCACCATCAGGCTGCATCATATTCTGGGGCTCTGAGAATCTCAGATCAGGGGACAAAGAGCACTATAGCAGTTGGTTTATTCTTAAAAATGATTTTGGTGATTACCGATTGCCTATACATGATTATATGAAGGGAGGACTGGGCCAGAAAATTTGCTGAGTATAGGAATTACCTGAGGAGTTTATGACTGTTTCACCTGGGAACTTTCTCTTTGACAGGCAAAATCATAGTAATTATGACACGATCGTTGTGCAATAACAATTATGACGGACTTTATGGTGCCTTATATTTGAAATGTGATGATAATTAAGTCATAGCAGCTAAACCTGCTGCACAAATATTAAATTCTCGTGGCTGGCTAAACTCTTTTTTCTCCTTGATGGTTGAGCTAGTAATAATGGGTACCCTCCTTGGGGTCTTTGACGAGAACAGACAGAGACAGAGAGGAAACAGGAGCCAGGGGTGACGTGGGGCTTTGTTCAAAATCAAGCAAGAGAGTGGGTGCTACAAATCCTTCACCAGCCGCCCTCACTTGGGGGCATTAGGCCAGGACTCAGCAAGACTGCGTTCCTCCTTAGGAACAGCAGGGGGCCTGGCCAGAGGGCAGGTAGGAACTAAAGGGGCACACAAATAGCACATGTCTGTCTACCGAGCCCCACGAGCAGGAGCGGTCGCTCTCCTCTCTCCGTCACTCGCTGCCCATGTTCAGAGCTCTCACTGCTATCAAGCAGGGTGTGTGGCTCGCCAGAGCGGCCTCTGCTTCATGGATAATTCAACAGACACCGGAAGAGAGCCCTGAGTGAAGTTGGTAATGAAGAGCTTCAGGACCAACAGACATTTTTCTACTGAAAGCTACATCAAAAACTGGCCGAGTAGAGTGCTCTCCTAATCTACTGAACTTACAGTTTGTTCTTCAAATCCAAAGATTCCAAAGGGAGAATCATTTGGTGGGATAACGACAGTTAACAGAACATCGTCACCAAGTGTGCCACCTCCCGACACACTGGTCAAGGTGAGGCTGAACATCTCCATGAGTTCGTATTCAGTGTCATCAGTGATGGTGATTTCTATCACTGCAGTAACCTGCAAACAACAGGAGTGGGAGGAAGACAGGAGGAAAATGAAAACAATTCCTACCAATTTTCCCCTTTTAAAAAAAAAATGTATTTGGTAAAGGTTCTCACTATGCAGCTCAGATTTATAGTGATCCTCCTCTCTCAGTCTCCCCAGCGCTGGGATTACAGGCGTGCACCACCACATCCAGTCTTGGTGGCCGGCTCAGCATGGGGCCAGCATGACATGGAGTACTGGGGATCACACCCAAGTCCTTGCAACTGCCAGGCAGGTACTTATACCACTGACCTACCTCCTTGACCCAATTTTTCTCATATGCTTTAATTTTTTTAATTAAAACTTAGGAACACAGTATGAAAGAAAAAAAGTGGTTTTACCTATTATAATCATAATACTTTTAAAGTCATGTATACTACAGTATTTCAAAGTCAGAACCTTAGTCTTTTATTTTCAAAATAAAAGATATTAGTCTATGTAATGAAATATAGTACATTTACAGATAGAAAACAATGGGTTCCTATTCTTGAAAAAAAATTAAAAGCCATGCAAATTCTAACATCTGCTGTGCAAACAGACAACCTGTGTGTGCTGGTATGAATATTTCATGATATCAAGAGAATCCATAAAAATTATCATTGTTTTCTGCAATTACAACAAATCCCACTGGCTTCAAATAATTTTTGTAAAGTAGGGAAGTAAAGCAGCAGGGAAAATACTCAAATTTTCTCTCCCTGGTTGCTTATGATCAGGAGCAAGCTCACATCTCTGGGTTTACGTTGTTTTTATCAATTTAGGAATAGCACTTGGCCGGGCCGGCCCGGGGCTGTGCACCGGTAAGCCCAGCTCCCCAGAGCCACTCACATGGGGCCAGGCCAGGCTGGGCAACTGAACAAGATCCCAGCTCAGAAAATAAGACAAGGTCCAGATTGCGATTTCCCAGCTCGCCAGGGGCGCTGAAGCAGAAGGATCCTAATTTCAAGTCCCACCTGGGCAAGCTAGTGGCACTTCACTTGAGAATAAACACAAAAGGATGAGGATGTAATTCCATGGTAAAGTGACCCGAGTTTGAGCTCCAGTACAAAAAAAAAAAAAAAAAGCCCAGCTATATGTCCACACTGGAAGTATTTTTTTACTGTTTCCTATGGGTAAATTTTAGCACTATGACAAACATATTAAACAGAACTTGGATTTTTTTCTATGAAAATCCACCTAAAACCCTTAACAGTGGGCAAATGCAGGAAATCTAGATGGCACGCTCAGAAACAACCTTGAATAGGGCCGCCAAATAGCTCAGCAGATTAAAGCACCTGCAAGCAGGTACACGGGCTGGGGTTCGATCCCCAGGCCTGCCTTGCTAGCCCTGATCCCGACCCCCCGGGTGCACTGAGATGGCAGCTGAGACTGAGCATGGTGGCGTGGGGCCTGTAATCCCAGCACGTGGGAGGTTGTAAACAGGCGGATCACTACGACTCCAGTCTAGTAGTGAGACCCTGAACACCCTGTAGAACCTTCCCTAAAATATAGGAAAAAAAAAAAAAAAAAAAAGAAAGAAAGAAAGAGAGAAAAGAACAGAAACAAAGCCAAATGCTACGATGGAAATTCATTAGAATCTCTGTACCTCAAAACCAGACTGTGGAGCACAGAAATCTCCCCGCAAGGCATGAGCTTTAACAGCAACAACAGCCCTGAGGAAGCTGGTAAGTAATGAATCCTCAGCCACTGCTCAGAATGAAGTGCTGGTGCTAAAACCAAAACTGGAAGGTGGCCTCAGTGAAAAGAAAATTTGTTTCTGCTTTTAATGTAAAAATCTCATTTATTTTCCTTTCTCTACTTTTATAGGAAATGTGTCAAAGTTTTTAATCTGGCAAAAAAAAAAAAAAATCATGATTTCAAGAACATTCACAATGAGAGGTCTTCCTGGGTGGGAAAGTGAAGGAAAATCTAGGTTCGTATTCTCATGTTTTGGCAGCACTGACTGCAGCGCTCGGAGCACCCAGGGAAACACGGCCGGGCCACAGCCGCCCCGACTGGCTCCGCTGCCTGAAGTTACAGAGGTGCTCATGGCTCTTCACTCTCAGGCTTTTTCTACTTACTGATTAAAGTTTTATTTAAAACCTTATTCGTATGTATTACAAAATACGCAATTCATAAAAATTGATAAGATTTGGAGGATACTTACTGATTAAAGTTTTACTTGAAACCTTATTCTTTTATATGAAAAACTAATCTACAAGGGCCGGGGAAATGGCTCAGTGGAATAAGTGCTTCCCTGGCAAGCACAAGGCCCTGAGTTCAATCCCCAGTTCCGGAAAAAAAAAAAAAAAAAAAACCAAAAAACTAATCTACAGACAACACCATGTAATACACCACATACTGCAAAATTCATATTATTTTGTGTAGTGAAATTCTATATCATTTGTAATTTTTCTGCTTTAATACTACTTTTTCTCTTTAAAAATAAATACTATTGAATAAATTAGAAATACTAATTTCTCTAAAAAATAAAAAATAAAACCTTATTCTTATGTTACAAAATGCCAAATTTATACAAACTTACAACACTTGTAGAATAATTTGTTATTTTTAACATCATTAGACCTAAATCTAGACTATTTTTTCAAATTATTTTTGAAGTTTATTCTTTTTTTGTATTATTTTTAGCATTTTTGAGTTATAAGCTGAGTTTTGGATATTAATTCATAAATGTGTATGGTAGTACTGAAAATCCTAAATTAAAATGTTGGATTTTGAACATTATATAAAAGAAACCCAAGAATACTGAGATAATTTAGTTCCCAGAGCAGGTTTGTTTTGTTTCGTTAAGTGTTTATTAAAAAGCACCTGTACTTGATTGGGCAGCATTTTATGTGCTGGTACGTTCCTCTAGGTCAGTTACTGCACTATCAGTTCCTTTTCAACTGGAAGCAGATGGGAAAGTTCAGACCAGGGTGAGAATCTCGCCTCTAACCCTTCTCTTCCTATACAATTTTTTTTTTTGTATTTTAGGGGAGGGTCTACAGCGGGTTCAGGGTCTCACTACTACACTGAACTCGTAGCGATCCACCTGCTTACAGCCTCCCAGGAGCTGGGATTACAGGCGCAGGTCACCTCCAACTGAAGTCTCAGCACGCCCCAGGGATGCTGCCCACATGGCAGACCTGGGGATTGAACCCCAGCTCCTGCACCTGCTTGCAGGTGCTTTAATCCACTGAGCTATTTGGCCAACCTCTCTATACTATTAATAGTTGATCATTCAGAGACATTTAGGGGACAGCCACCACCTGCTGCGCCCCACTCGCAGCCTGCGTCCAGACCCAACCTAGGCATCTGGTGCCAGCGCGCGACGAGTCACGCACCTGCCCGTCTGCGAAGTCCAGCGTCCCGCGTGGCGGCGCGAAGTCCTGGGCACCCGCGCTGCCCGGCGTGGCTGTCCACTGGACGCTCACCGGCCCGAAGCTCCCGGCCAGCCGGACCACGGGGACCCGCAGCACACCCCGGGGCGGAGGCAGCTCGTGGGCAGCGACAGCTCCTCGCGTGTCCTTCAGCAAAGAGCAGAGGTCAAAGGCGAGACTGAGCGCCGCTCTGCCCGGGAGCGCCTGCGCGGCCGCCGTCTCCCTCAAACTACTCTTCCAAGCACAAGTTTGGGGGAGACTTAACGAGATAAGCCAAACGGGCTTAATCCTTCCGTCTAGTTCGAAGAGAGCCAAGAGTTAGTAAGTTTGGTTACTTTCCTATTTATTAAAAGCCACATGCAAAGCCAGGGACATAGCTTTGTAGAATAAGCGCCTGCCTGGCAAGCGCAGGGTCCTGAGTTCAATCCCCAATACAAAAAAAAAAAAAAAAAAAAAGCCACATGCAAAGTCAGATATTTTGCAGAAAATATTTTTACAAATCGGCAGGGACAGGCTTCTCTGCTGCCACACTACCATAAACAGGTGAAAGCTCATCTTACCCTGGTAACTTGAAACTTAAAAATGCCCCTGGGGTCATCGTTTTCTTCGATCACTATCTCAGCCATCTCCCGGCCAGGTCTGCGCACGCGCGGCTGCTCTGCAGGGAAGTCTGAGTTGACCAGGGTCACCTCGGTGATGGTGACCACAAATCCTTCCTCCAGCTCAGGCGCATCATCCTGGGGTGGGCACAGAGAAGATTATTTCTCCAAAGTTATTTACTTTACACTGGAAACTTGTTATTTTTCAGTAATAACAAGTTATTACATCTATAGGAATTGGCAAGTCTACCAACACCAAAAAGATTTCTTTTTGCATTTTAGACCTTCCCAGTGATACCTCAGGATCTATGGGGTATTTAGGATGAACAGTGATGTTTCAATGGAACCTTCATTCTCAATAGCAAATCAAATAATTTTAAAAATCTATCATACAATTTGGACCATACCTTACTGAAAATTTTATATATAATATCCCAAAAGAAATTTAAGAGAAATTTGTAAATTCTACATATATTTGAAAAGTAAAAGGTCTCAACTTCTAAATCTAGATGTAAAATTTAACTTTAATTAAAAAATTATCTTTATTCTTGAACAAGTAACAATTTTAAAATATAAAAAAAGGAAAGAAGGGCTGGTGAGATGGCTCAGTGGTCTAAAGCACCTACTTAGAACAAGCTTAGCAAAGCACATGGACAGCGGTTCAATCCCCCAGCATCACATACCAGCCAGCCCCGCCTCCTGGTGGGCTGAGCTGGCCACACACACACACACACACATAAATAAAATAAATAAATTTTAAAAAAATAATAAAATAAAAAAGGAAAGAAAATCTTTCTACCTTATCCTTTTTGTCCTAGATTGTCCTGTTCAGAAAACACTATTATGTAATATGGCCATACTATTAGTAATAATGCTAATAATTATATATTATACCTACTTAGCAATCTATATTATACTAAAAAACAGTTTATATAAAATATTATGACTAAATAAGATATTTGATCAGATAAGTAACAAAAATCCGTCATTGCCACTTTGAATTTTTGTGACTCATTCACAGGTATATCCACATGTTCCCTCTTCCTTCTCATTTCTATATACATAAGGAAAGACAGACATAGTTTGTGAGTAGGTGTGCTGGTGGTTAGGCTTGTTGTGAAAACTCCATTGGCTTAAGAAATGCCCAGGGACCAGCAAAGCCCACTCCTGGGTGTAACTTGATGGGTCCTGGAGGAGGGGCCCTGAAGACAGATTGGGTCCTGTCTCACACTATTCCCCCACCCTGCTGCCTCCAGGTCATCGCTAAGCAGCTCTGCTCCACCACACCCTTCCACCACGATGTTTCTGCCATGGAGTTGGCTTACCATGGACTGAATCACCTGAACTGTAAGCCATGTTAAACTTCTCCTCTTTTACATGTGGGTGGCAGGTGCTGCCTCCAAGTGGTGGAAAAGGTAAGTACTATAATACTAAACATAGATAAGCCTAAAACTAAACCATCAGAATATTAATCTTGGTATTGTTGCAGACAGCTGAATTAAATAGAAATATTATATAGGCAGTCAGACAGGGCCAGGCCCTCAAGGAGACAATATAAAAGACAAGTTGACTTTGCAACTTGGAAGAGACAGACATTCCCATATGGGCCAGACTTTAAGACAAAAGAGGAGACAAATGCAGCTACATACTTCCCTAGGGATGGGCATCAGGGATTGATACTCTAAACAGGTATCAATCACCTTGAAGGAGCCCAAATGAGTCACTAGCCCAACGCCCAACAGGAAGAGACCCTGTCCTGTATTCATGTCCACTTGCTATGTGACTCACTTCCCCATTTGGTACTGGATTTAATCAATTTTACCTGAGCAACGGTGCTTGTAATCTCATTGGTTGACCCTTGTTTTGTCCCACCTCATGTCCACCTAAGCGAGTTCTCGTCTTCTCCACTGCCTCAGACCCTCCTCACCACATGGTTTTACTCTATATAAGTCCCTGGAAGAGACAGCTTCCTGGGGACAACCAACTTGGGGACCCCCTTCTGTCCCTCTCTGGACAGAAGTTTTCTTTCCCCCAAGAAATATATTCTGCTCATAATCTCCATTT